ATTATAAAATATTTTGATCAAAGAATGATGACAACAGAAGAGAAAGGTGAAAAGTATGACGGAAGGGCATTTAAAAACCACTATTTGCGCATAATTGAGGAGGAGTAGTAATAACAATTGCAATGATGACGTTTTAAGGATGATGATAATAACGATGAGAATGATGATGAATCAATTTTAATCGTTAATTATCGGAAGGTTGAAAGAGAGAAAGGAACAAAGAAAGAAAGAAAGAGGGACACAGAGAGAGAGAGAAAAAGGAGGGCGGGAGAGTTTCTCCTCATCATTACCATATTCATATATCTATTTCGACATTTTGATGATCATCTAATAATTGGATGTATTTATGTATGTGCTGTGATTACAATGAAGGAAAAGAAGGGATAGAAAGAGCAAGGAATGCACTAATTTATTAATTTTAAATTCGCTAATTAAGACAAATTAATTTGAATATTTTTTGAACATTTTAGTGCAGATTGAATAATGGCACATTTTTTCCTTCTTTCTCTTCTTTTCTCTCCTCTTTTTCTCCCCTTTTCCACCTTTCCCTTGCGCTCTTTTTCCTTCTTCCAAGATTATTTCGAAAATTTTAGTGCGAAAAAAATTTTGACCGTATCAAAAAAATTTATCGAACGGTGATAAAAATGATAATTTTTTGCTGTATTAAGGAAAAAATTTTTTTTAAACCAAAGGAGGGAAGGAGAAATAATGAGATGAGTGGGTGGGGGAAAGAAAGGATGAACTTTTTCTTCCATTATTCAAAAAGAAGAAGGAAATTATTTCTTTTTACCTTTCAAAACAGAACAAAAATAAAAAAGAGTGATTTTTTTCTGAGTATAAAATATTCCAATTAAAAATGTATTGTTAAATACTTTCTATTTTTATATAAAGAAAAAATCTTTCCAAAACAATTTTCTCTATTTGAAAATCCATAAAATTAAAGTTGTACAAAAAAACGACCATTCTGTCCAAAATAATTAGTTGACAAACAATGGCATTATCTTCCTTTTCTTTTCTGTTTGTTTTTTATTTTTCGTCTTTCTTCATTTTCTTTTTTTATGATAAATTTTTGGATTCATTTGATTGTGAAATATAAATAATAAAGGGTCAACGTTAAAGTAAAATTGAAAAAAGAATGCGAGTGAACATTTTTTTAAATGAGTATTTAATTATAAGTCTTTCTTACAAACATTCTTATAAAAATGTGTTAATTATCGTATGTGTACAGACGTACTGAAAAATAAATGATATGAATTAAATACTTAAAGAAGTATATTCAATTAAACTTTCCTTTCTCAAAAGAATACCAGAAAAAACGTGAATGAATGATAAGTTATTTGCTAATTTTTATGTCACATTGCAAGAAAATAATTTGAATTCTAACACTTACAAATTTTAGAAAATTAAAAAAACGATACGGCGTTGAGGCGGTATGACAAATTATAGGAAAAAAGAATTTGTAAATTCATCATTACTTTGAGTAATCCATTGAAAGAATTAGTAATTTAACTGTTTGTTACAAAGCTTTGAAATTTGGCATTTTAATTTAAATTAAATTTTCAAATTCAAAATGTTTTTTCCATATTTGAATTGATTTGTTACTTAAATTTAATTGAAATTAGCAGTTTTGCAGTAATCGATGAATGTGTTCTTGGCACCCATGAATGTGATGAGAATGCAAAATGTGAGGACACACTGGATGGTTACAATTGTCAATGTAAGCCAGGTTGGACCGATAACAGTCCGGATCGTCAACGTCGACCGGGGCGCAGCTGTAAGAAAGGTATTTCGACCAGTTAATTTAGAATGATCAGAGGTTGAATCAATTCAAACTTAATTTTAAATTCGACAAATTGTATAATAACAAGCGTGTCGAGATTAACGATCATAATTATCCTTTTATGAACAGGAAATTATAAATTAATTAAAGCAAATCTTTCACAAATTTTTTACTCGTCATAAAACCTGATAAATAAAAATTAACTAATGTTTGATAATAATTTGTTGAAATTAAATTTATTTTCGATATATGTGACAACACTGCAAATGGCTGAAATTCATATATATATATATTTTTGTTCACCTAGTTGAAGCATCTTTAATTAAACATGCAAATTAGATCTCTTTTTTCAGCAAACGTATGTGCTAATATTCAATGTGCCAAAGAAGCGGAATGTCGTGAAACGGAACTTGGACCGGTTTGTGAGTGTTTCTCAGGTTATGTTGATATTTCTCGACAACATGGCATGGCTGCAGGACACGTTTGTCGAAAGTTAGCAAAACTTAAAAATTAAAAAAATCATGGGCTGTAAATGTCATCTAATTCAATTGTCATCATTAATTGAAGAAGATGAAATACAGATTAATTAATAGTTATGTTGTTTATTCGTTATCAATAAAATTGCTATAAAACTATTCCGAGAGTTTATTTGCTTGGAATTATTAAAATACATTAAATATTAATTATTATATCATATTAATTATATCACATAATTAAATTATTAAAAATTAGTTTACCGTTCAGAATTAATTATAATAATTCCTTTAAGAGTAATAAACGAATGTGCAACCGGTAAACATGACTGCTCATCTTCTGCATCCTGTATTGATACAGCCGATTTGTTTACTTGTCGTTGTCGTGATGGATTTCGTGATGAAAGTCCAGATCTTATCAATCGTCCTGGACGAGTATGTGTCAGAGGTTTGTTTGAAATTTTGGTTAATAAATTTGAATTATCAAATAATTACTGTATTAACTGATCGAAAATAATTTTTGACTAATCTAATTTGACAAAATACTGAACTAATTGTATTGAAAAAGTATGATTGATTTAAACTGAAAAATATATTTCTGTTCTCATTCATTATTTCAAATGGTAAATCAAAAACAAAAAAGGTTAATAACAATGAGAGAAAAGAAATGAAGACTGGAACAAAAAGAAAATTTAAAACTTTTTTAAAATGCATTAATTGATAAAAAAATTCAGGTTAGAAAAAACACACACACACATACTAACTCGTTTCAATTAAAAATCTTTTTTTCTTGTAGCATTTATTCCGGAACCACCAGAATGTGATGTCAATGATCCGATGAGTTGTGATGCGAAGAAAAAAGAAGTATGCTTATTTGTTAATGGTACATACAAATGTCAATGCGCAACCGGATATGATCGTTTGCCGGATGGTCGATGTTTAGTAATTAATGAATGTGACGATCAGCGCCTCAATGATTGCGCTTTAAATGCTGATTGTATTGATCAGGTAAGTTATCATATCATTTGAAGAACAAGAAAAAAAGACAAAACAAAAAATGAAACTGTTCATATTAAATTTTGTTAATTTAACATTATTATAGGCTGATGGTTATACTTGTCAGTGTAAGAGTGGCTTTGCGGATATATCACCACCAAATACACCGGGGCGCATTTGTCGTACTAGAGTAAATGAATGCGCTGAACCACAAAAATATCATGTCGATTGTGATCCCAATGCTGTATGTATTGATACAGATGAAGAGTATACATGCAGGTACCCATATTATACTAAATTAAATTTTAAATTTTTAAAAACCTAGTCTGCATTAAAAATTTTTAATTTCAACTGCAAATATAACCAAAAATTAAATAGATGATGGTAGTAGAACTAATCATATCAGTTATGTATTCTCTGTGAAAGAATGTTATAAATAAGTTTGTAAATTATTCTTTGTAGCTGTCGTCCCGGTTTTGCTGATATATCGAGTTCATTTGAACGGTTACCTGGTCGTCGGTGTGTCGAAGCGGTAAATGAATGCTTGGATTCATCATTGAATGATTGTTCAGAGAATGCTATTTGTGAGGATGCTAAAGAAGGGTATTAATTTCCAACAAATTTTAATTTATTTGATCAATTTAAAAAACACAGTAAATAAATTTATAATTTACTTGTAGGATATTATAGAAATTTGAAAATGTTATGATTTATTATTTTTTTGTTAATGTTAAATATTTTTTAAAAAATGCTAAATCTATAAATTTTTAAACTTTTAAAAGTTTGAATAAATCATATACGACATTTAGAGAAAACAAAAAATAAAACGAATTATGAAATTTTTACTTTTTCAGATATATTTGTACATGTCTGCAAGGTTTTGTCGATGCATCGCACAATATTACTCATTATCCAGGCCGAGTATGTCATAAGCCTAAACAAGAAAGCCTTAATGATAATAGTGCATCGAAAGGCTCTCTAATCACTTGCAATCCTGATAAGCCAAAATGTGGCGTTAATGAAGTATGCACTGATCGTGAAGCACGTGGAAAATTTGTTTGTGATTGCGCTGAAAATGCTTTCAGATTTACGGATGATACATGCCGATGTAAGTTAGCATGATTTTATGCATATTATACATTTGATAATATTGGAGAGATAATAAATGGCAGTATTAAGTTAAATATTGAGACAAAAGAAAGAAATAATAATGATGTAAGTAAGCGAAGAGAAATTGTAGTAACATGTCATTTTTTCATTATCATCAGATTTTTTAAATAATGAAATATTTGTTGGCAACGAAGAATTATTTGTAAAAATAAATTATAGTTATCTTTTTTTTAGAAATAAATTTACGAGTTTTCTTTTTTTCTACATTTTAAGGAAAGCGATTGATTTTTTACATCCGATAACTAATTCATCTAATTGCAAAATCGAAATTCAAATATGGTCTTTATCTAACCATTCGTCACTGATTTTATTTTTCGGTTATTTCAGTTTATGCTGCTTGTGTTGGTGTAAATGATTGCGATAAGAATGCAGTTTGTGCTAATGCTTTCGATTCTTACATATGTCAATGTCGTCCTGGATTTATCGATATTTCACCGGATCCGGAAGGGAAGCCGGGCAGAATTTGTAAAGAATGTATGAATTTTTTAATGTGTTTTTCTCTCTTCACTTTTAGCTCAGAATTCTATAAAAGAAAAGCATTTAGAAAAGTTTCATTTATATTTTAAAGCTCTTAGCATAAATTTTATTCCTTTTATGTTTTTTCCTGAAATGAAATTTCATATAAAAATTGTGAAAATTTTCAATTAATTGAAGTGATTAATGAATGCGCTGCGGGAATTCACAACTGTTCATCGCATGCAACATGCATTGATGCAACCGATGGTTACATTTGTATTTGTGATGACGGCTTCGTTGATACGTCATCACAGTTTCAACTTGCGCCTGGCCGTCGTTGCAGTAATGGTCAGATTTTCAAAAATTTTGAAAAAAAAAAAGACTGTCAATAATTAATTAGATTAAAATGATAAATTAATTGAATGAATTTGAAAAAGCTAATATTTGAAGCCTTTTTTTCTTCATAAGTTGGTCTCAGAATAGTAAAATTAAACAGAAAACGTTACATTAAATGCCATACAACTTTTTATTATATTAAAATACTAAAGTTTTTTTTAAAAAAACTTCAATATTTTGAAAATGTACTAAACGTTTTTTTAAAAGAATTTCGGATATTAAAGATAATGCACAAAATACTATATCCACTTTGTTGTCGATTTTTTTTCCAATCCTTTTCAAATATAAATATATCATTTTTATTTTTAGCCAGTAATGAATGTGCCGATCGAACTTTGAATACATGTGATGAAAATGCGGATTGTATTGATACACCTGACTCTTATACCTGTCAGTGCTATGCAGGATTTGTTGATGTTTCATCCAATGCTAATTTACAACCTGGTCGAGTATGTACGGTACAAACTAGCTGTCCAAAGCAAAAAACTGATCTCATGTTTTTGATTGATGGTTCCGGATCAATTGGCTCCTATGTTTTTAAAAATGAAGTAAAAATATTTTCTTGCTTAATCTAGAGAAAAAAATTGTTGCTTTAAAAATAATAATTCATTTAGAATTTCTTGAACATAATTAACCTTATTTAAACACCTCAAATTATTTAGAAATTAAATCAAGTTAAAATTTTTTTGAAAACTTTTTTTCGTAATCTTACATTACATCAAATTTCTCTTTTCATTTCATTTGAAAAAAATATTACCAAATTATCAATTTCCAAGAGAGAATATTAAATGAAAGTGAAATTAGCAATTAATAAGCATAAAATGAAATTATTTATAGGTGTTAAGATTTATTAAAGAATTTGTGGAGTTATTTGATATTGGTTTGGATAATACACGTGTTGGTTTGATACAATATTCTGATCAAATCAGGCATGAGTTTGATTTAAATCAATATAGTGACAAGGAATCCGTTATCAGTGCCATATCACAAGTTCAATATTTAACAGGTCTTACGAGGTTAGTGGAATGATTTTAGAAATTTCTACTTTCTTCTTTTGCTTTAAAAAATTTTGATGAACATCATCCTATTTATGTTTTCCAATATCAAATTTTGCCGTTTCCTCCTTTTTTTAATTTTATATTTCACAGGACTGGTGCCGCTATTCATCATATGGTAATGGAAGGTTTCTCAGAGCGACGTGGTGCTCGTAAACAAGGTGATGATGTCGCACGTGTGAGCATCGTTATTACTGATGGTCGTAGTCAGGATAATGTTACGGAACCTGCTATAAATGCTCGCAATTCACATATTAATATGTTTTCGGTTGGTGTGACGGATCACGTTCTGGGATCGGAATTAGAAGCAATAGCAGGCTCACCATCGCGATGGTTCCACGTTGCTAAATTCAAGGATTTGGATACTCGGCTACGGTCATTGATCCAGAAAGCAGCCTGTCCATCAGTAGAACCGAAACCACGTCCACCTGGTGGATGTAACCCATCAGCACAAACTGGTTGTGATCGTGCGCTAAATGAAGTTTGCATACAGGTCTGGCTTTTAAATTCTCTTTCCTCATTGCTTCAAATTTTAAAATTTCGAAATAGCTTTTCTGGCTCAACATTGTCAGAAATTTCATTTTAAAGACTAATGGCTCCGCTCAATGCGTTTGTCCAGAAGCATTTCAACGGCATCCAAGCACCCGACGTTGTGGAGGCAATCACTGTAATCCGGATTTGCCTACATCGTGTCCACATCCAGAAATATGCACGGTTGCGCAATTTTCAAATTATCTTTGCATTTGTCCAAAAGGCTACTTACGTGATCAGCGAACTGGAATTTGCCGTTAGTTATATTTTTAACAATTTCGATCAAACCTGTAAAGGATAAATTTTTTAAGTTTAAAATTTAGATTTGAATTCAAATTTCAGTACGCCTTAGTGAATGTAAGAATCGTTCGACCGTTTATTAGAACCTCGAATTCAAACTTAGGTAATTAAACCATAGCGATAGTAAAACACAATATTAAACAAAAACAAGGGCAAAAAAATAAACCAAAACGCAAACCCAAAAGGAAGAAGAATGTTGATGAATGAAGAATTGATTCTTATATAGGCAAAGTATACGTGCATATCATAGCGCGGGAAAATAAGGACAGATATTTGAGGTTGTAAGAGCAAAGGAGATCATGTAGTACAATAATTGGAGGCAAGGATGGGAACAGATATGCAGTACAAGATGAATCATTTGACTGTGCTATTGGTTTAAACAAGGACATTGTCATTGACGCGTGTTAACATGTATTAAGGCACAGTAATGAATATATA